CTTTTTTCTTTTTGCTTATGTGGTGCTGAGGAATGGAACCCAGGGCCTCAGGCATGCAAGGCAAGCACTCTACCACTGAGCCAACTTCCCAGCCCCATGAGTACATTTCTTTTTGGACACTGTCACCCCTTCCTTCATTCTCTCCCAGTTTTTACCTCCTATTTCTGTCCACAAGTTGTATAATTCATTTTCAACATAGCTTCCAGTGAGTACCACTGCTGTATTTGTTCATGCTTTGTCCCGCCCTTTTCTCCTCCTGATATTTGCTGGGTGCCTTATCATGCTGGGTGTTCTGTTTGATAGTCTTTGTGTATGTCTCAAAAAAAAAAAAAAGAATTAGAAGTGCCAGGCACCATTGGGCTCATGCTAGCTAGATTGCAGGCTGAGGTCTGAGGATCATTGTTAGAAGTCAGCTCAGACAGAAAAGTCCATGAGACTTTTTTTTTTTTTGTCGGTTGTGGAGCTTGAACTCTGGGCTTGGGCACTGTCCCCGAACTTCTTTTGCTCAAGGCTAGCACTCTACCACTTACGCCACAGCGCCACTCTGGCTTTTTCTATTTTTGTGGTGCTGAGGAATTGAACCCAGGGCCACACGCATGCAAGGCAAGCACTCTACCACTGAGCCACATCCATGAGATTCTTATCTCCAGTTAATCACCAAAAATCTACAATTGGAACTGTGGCTCAAGTGGTAAAGTACTAACCTTGAGCAAACAAGCTAAAGAACAGCACTCAGGTCCTGAGTTTAAACTCCAGGATTTGCACGCGCACAAATACACACACACACACACACACACACACACACACACACACTCAAATTGCTCTTGGTAAGTTCATCTGCTGCCCTGCCTCCCAGGATTAAGCTGAATGGACACTTTGAATGTTTTTTGTGGTATTGGCATGTAAACTTAGGACTTAGGACTTTGAATTTGTTGAACAGGCTCTCTCACTTGAGCCACACCTTTGATACTTTTTTGCTTTTTTTTTTTTTTTTTTGTGCTGGTCCTGGGGTTTATATTTGGGGGCCTGGATAGTGTCTTTAAACTTGTTTTGCTCAATGTTCATGCTCTACCACTTGACCCACAGCTCCACTTTTGGCTTTTTTGGTAGTTCATTGGAGATAAGAGTCTCACAGGCTTTCCTGCCAAAGCTGGTTTTGAACCCGATCATCTCAGCTACTCCTGAGTAGCTAGGATTAAAGGCATGAGCCACTGGTGCCTGGCTGCTTTGGTTATTTTTGAGATAAGGTCTCACTTTTTGCCCACGCTAGACTGGACCATAATCTTATTTATGCTTCCCTCTACTTGAGATAGGTGCTTGCCACCATGCCCATATTTTTCTGTTGAAATAGAGTCTTGTGAACATTTTAGCCCTGACTGGCCTTAAATTGTGATCTTCTCAATCTCAGCTTCCCATGTAGCTGGAATGGCGGGCACTCAGGACCACTGCTTGCATTTGTTGATTTATACAGGATCTTGTGAACCTTTCACTGAGGCTGGCCTTGAACTTCAATCTTCCTGATCTTTACCTCCCAAGTAACTAGGATTACAGATGGGAGCTGCCCAGGCTCAGACATTTTTATGTTAATTCTCAGCAGTGTTGAGTAAGTTACATACTCTTTCTGCTTAAATAAAAATTTTTAATAAGAAGTCTTTCATATAGAATGAAGGAAACACCTTGTGTAACTGCCATCAAGATTTGAGAAGTAAGCTGGGCGCCGGTGGCTCTAGCCTGTAATCCTAGCTACTGAGGAGGCTGAGATCTGAGGATCATGGTTCAAAGACAGCCCGGGCAGGAAAGTCCGTGAAACTCTTATCTCCAATAAACCACCAGAAAACCAGAAGTGTTGCGGTGGCTCAAGCGGTAGAGCGCTCACCTTGAGCTGAAGAGTGCAGGGACAGCACTCAAGCCCAGAGTTTAAGCCTCACGACCAACAACAAACAAAAAGATTTGAGAAATAGATCATACCAATAAAAGTTCCTGTGTCTCTTCCTTATCCTAATGCTTGTGGAAATCATTCCCTGCTTCTGAATATTTTTTTTTCTCATCTTCCTTACAGTCCAGTGTGTGTTATTAAATGCTTGCTTTTGTGTTTTACCCAGAGAATGCTGTGAAATATATGTTAGCTTTATGAAATCTCATAGTAGATAGTCTTTTTTCCCCCTCTCTGGTCCTGGGCTTGTACTCTGGGCCTCAGCACTGTCTCTGAATTTCTTTTGCTTAAGGCTAGTGCTCACTACTTGAGCCACAGTGCCACTTCTGGCATTTCTGAGTAGTTGATTGGAGATAAGAATCTCACAGACTTTACTGCCTTGGCTGGCTTCAAACTGTGATCCTTGGATCTCAGCTCAGATTACAGGCATGAGTCTTTTGGTAACTCTCAGTTCTTTATTGAACATTGTGAGATTTTTCCATGCTGTTATCTGTACCTCTCTGGTTTATTTAATTTCA